CTCAGGAAGTACCGAAATAAAGTTTCAGACAGCAAAAGCTCAGAAATTCGAAAGCAGGACAGCGAATAAGCTAAGGGAGCCTCCAGACCGCGCCGGTTGCCGCTTTTGCTGCCGTTAGCCGCTTTCGCGCCGGTTGCCGCTTTTACAGCAGAAGCGCAGTGGGTCAAGCCATTGTCTCCCTAACGCGTGTGAAATGCGAAAACTCATTGATCAACCTACTTTTCTGTGCTTTCTCATATTTTTTCTTAATTTTTCTCTGATTGGATGGATTCGAGGCACAAATCTTTGAGTAATAATTTTTTCAGCATTTGATACATCGCCGTTGAAAACAGATGCACTGAGCATTGACAACATTTAGTTGGAGTTTATAGATCGCAGTGTTCTTTGCGTTTTTTTCAGTATTTACTACACTTAAGTTTTGTTTTTCTGTGAGTGTTGCGGTTTGGAGGCTGGATGGGTCTTGATGAACATTTCTGCATAACTGATGCATGGACGTAAGCGTAGAAAGATTCACAACAAATATGAAACTTGTGCGTTGTACCTTATCTACTTACCAGTGCGTCACCTCTGCTTCGCAGAGGCTCGCACTGGCCCTACTTTCTGTTTGCCTTACTCATTCCCGCATAATAATAGCATTGAAACTCACCGCGCTATGCAGAATCTCATGAATGATTTGTAAAAATCATTTATTCCTAGAGTTTTTTCGTATGAGATCGGTATTTTCGCGTGGATGAAACTTTTCCGAGAAGAATAAATGCAAATTTTTTATGGTTTGGTAGTCGCCATAACGACGATGATCACCGTGGGCTACATCTTTGTGCAAAAATTTTCCCAAATAATCAGGTAAAGTCTTGGCAAATTGAACATTTACGCAACTAATTTTTTCCGGCGCCATTTTCGTAAAGTAATCAACTTTAGTTCAATTTTTTGGGCTAAGGTCCATGGGATGTGCCTAGGCTTGTTAATCAGTTCCATGACTTTGACAAAAGTGTTGGTACAGGCCCAATTTTGCCGGCCAGAAGTCAAGTGGATCCGTTTGAAGCGGAATTTTGAGAGATCCACTCAACGGATCCGCTCGTGCTTTTGCGTAGCGGACTTTCATGCCGCTAGCATGTCCTTGTAATTTTTGGGCTCAAGAGGTTGGCTGGAACTCGCTCTACGAATTTCGTAAAGGACAGACAGACATACACGCACAAACACGTAAAAACCCTTAACCCGTTATTATAAGTCATGATAGTGCTTTCATTTCATTTTCCACTTCCATTTCATTTTTGTTTTTACCTAGTTCAAGTTTCATATCGATTATGAGTGATGCGCTTTTTCTATGCTTACCTCCACGCATTATCATGAATGTGCACAAATGCTGATCAAAATCGCATCGAGCTTTCCAAACCGCATCACTCATAAAAAGCATGAAACTTGAGCACAATAAAAACCACAAGGAACGTAAAGATTGTTCCACTTGTAAACTCCAGCTGAATGTAGTCATTACTTAGCGTATGTGTTTTCAACGGCAAAGTTTTGAGTCTTGAAGCAACCATCATCCAAAAACTTGTACCTCAAAACACCTTGGCCGGTAGTAATCCCCCCGACCTGGCGGCAGGTCTCGTCGGCAGATCGCTGGCACCTTTCCGTGAGGTGGCCAGAAACTAAAACCCCAAATATAGGCCGTCCCAGGCCTTTTTCCAAAAAAATTTCTTGATGAAGATGCCACCTCGACCCTATAGAAACCTCCATTAAAATCTGCGGTTCCAGAAATCCTTCTGTAGGAAAATATCTGGAAGCGCAGGAGGAGCTGCCGGCAACTTCGCGAAGTCAGTTGCCGGCAACCTGCCGGCAGCTCGTCGAAATCCGCGAGATGGCAGCTGCCGGCAGGTCAGAGAGCACGGGAAATAGCGTGCTCTTTTGAGAGAGGGAGCTGCCGGCATCTCGACGTGCCCCTACCACGTCGAGGTGGTGGCACCTTTGCCGACGGGTCTGCGAGTTTGCGAATTGCGGCGATATCACACAATTTATGTCAAGCAAAAAATCAAAAATTCTACTTTTCATCAAAAAACTATCATTTTTCTCATTATATGAGTTTTTCTTTTTCAAAACGACGATTTTCTTACAAAGAAAAAATCTAGTGATGCCTTAGAATCATAAAGAACACCATCTTTTTTGGCAATCTCTTATAAATCTCGTTTGCACCGATTTCGCCCCTCTCTCGTTCATATCAATCAGCTGTTCTTTCAGGTCAAAGTTTCTCACGCAATGTATCGATCCCTCTTACAGGCAGCCATTTACCGGCGCGTTCCTCCTATTGCTAGTGCAAACGGCAATGGCTGAACGAATGGTCGAGTGGTTAACGTGGTGGCACTTAAGTTAAGGCACATAGGTTCGACCGCGCGCGATGTAGCAATTTTGCGGCTGTCTGCGTCATTAGAATTTAATGTGCGAAATGATTGGGTGCTAAGGTTACATAAGATTATTAAAACGTACAATCACTCCGCGAGCTGCCGGCGGAGTTGGCATCTTTCCGCGATGTGTGCCAACTTGCCGGCATCTCTGATGCCACCAGGTAGGGTAGATTACTACCGGCCCTTATAACACTAACATCAAGAAAATGACATAAAAAAGCTCAGAAAAGTAAACTGATCAATGAGTTTTTGCGCTACACATGCGCCAGGGAGACATTACCTTGACCCCTTGCGCTTCGGCATTAGTGGCAACCGGCGCGGTTTGAAAGCTTCCTAAGAAAAAAGCTGGAAGAGTAGCTAGAACAAGGACCACGCCGCTTTGCGCCTGCAGCCCACGCTCAGACAATCGCTGGGGGCAGGCGGGCATCGGAAAAATAGATTGCTGATTTCTCGCACCCCGCTCGCGGATTTTTTGGAAAGCAATCAGGACTTTTCGGAAGACCGCTTGCTGAGTCAGCGGATTTTTGAGAGACCGCCTGTTGAATTTTTTCGCTCTTATCTTTTGCAGATATATTGCTGAATCTCTGAGAAATCGAGAACTCAGCAAGCGGTCTTCCGAAAAGTCCTGATTGCTTTCCAAAAAATCCGCGAGCGGGGTGCGAGAGATCAGCAATCTATTTTTCCGATGCCCGCCTGCCCCCGGCGATTGTCTGAGCGGTAGCGCTCGTGCGCAGGTGTGTGACTGTAGTACGCGCGCTGGCCCCGTCAAAAACGCATTGTACACATACACATACACATACACATACACATACACATACACATACACATATACATACACATACAGTGACCAAAAAAAGTTGTGGACAAGTTGCCCTCCTTTTTTCAGCGTTCATTTTCGGATGAAAAATCAGGATGAAGAAATGATTGAATTGCTTAAGGTGATAGAGCTCTTCAAGAGCTACAAGCCGCACATTGCGCTTTCTGGAAAACATGTATTCTCAAAATTCTAATAATCTTTTTCCAGAAAAATTATGAAAATGGCCGCGTCACAATGTCGCGGACAATAATTCTTCGAACGCGAAGATTTTCTTTTAGTTCTTTTTTTGAAACAAAGCAGAGTTTTCCGAGCAGGTTAAGCATAGTTTATCATAGAGCTCATCGAGGAAGGACAACAATCAGATAGTGGTTACTTCCTTCCAAAAACGCAAGTTTGAATTTTGTTTCACCTTTTTGAAGAAATAACTTCTATTTTTCTTTTTCAAAGTTCTTCACATGAAAACCTATTAAAGGCATCCCAACGAAGCTTTTTGGATAAAGTAGATGCTCTTAACCATTTTCAATGCATTGGACGTGTGCTAGTGAGTTTTTTGGCTGAAAATGACTCCTGACAATGCGCGCACATGACCCTACCTGCGCCTCACCACTGACTTGTACCGCTTTGCAGGCTTGTAGCTCAGCCGACAGGCAATCTACGAGCCTGTACTTAGGCTCATTCGAAAAAGCGTGACTTCCTTAACATGATAGTGTGCAAAAAGTTAAGTTAGGGCAGTTCAAGAGATTCGACGAATGGGGTGGAAGAGGGCAGCCTTAGAAGTGATTGTAGTGAAGGCTCTTATGAACACCAGAACAGTCTTAGAGCTTGGAAATGGATCTTTTACAAGAAAATTGACAGGATGAAATTGGTAGCGAAAAGAGCTCTTTTCAACTTTAGCTGAAAAATGCTTAGCTTACGACTGAAGCTGCTCTTCCACCCCCTCCTGGGGTGGAAGAGCCAATCTCTGGAATTGCCCAAGCTAAACTTATTTGCAAGCCATCGTGTCGAGGAAGTTACGCCCTTTTGAATGAGCCTACGTACAGGCTCGTAGATTGCTTGACGGCTGAGCTACAAGCCTGCAAAGCGGTACAAGTCAGTGGTGAGGCGCAGGTAGGGTCATGTGCGCGCATTGTCAGGAGTCATCTTAAGTCAAGAAACTCACCAGCAGCCAATGCATGGAAAATGGTGAAGAGCATCTACTTTATCCGAATAGCTTTGTTGGAGTGCCTTGAATGGGCCATGTGAAGAAATTTACTTTAAAGAAAAAAATAGAAGTTATTTTCTTAAAAAGGCAAAAAAATCCAAACATGCGTTTTTTGGGAATAACAACTACCTGATTCTTGTCCTCTATGAGCTTTATGATATAGTATGCTTATCTGTTCTAAAAACCTCTGTTTTGCTCTAAAAAAGACCTAAAAAAACTTTCGCGTTCAAAGATTTGTTCGCGACATTGTGACGCGGCCATTTTCAGACTTTTTCTAGAAAAAGATTTTTGAAATTTTTATAGTACATGTTTTCCAGATAGCGCAATGTGCCAGTTGTAGCTCTGAAAGAGCCCCATCACCAGTCATTTTTCATCCCGGTTTTCCATCCGAAAGTAAACGCTGATAAAAGGAGGGCAACTTGTCCGCAACTTTTTGGTGGTCACTATACACATATACATACACGTACACAAACGAGCTTGCAGAGCAGAGGGGCCGCACTGCTGAGACATCAAGAGTACACGAACCCGGAATACCATGTTGTACCTCTATTCGAAGTAATCCAATCAACGAAATACTTTATTCTTGTTGTGATATTCGGAGGGAGTCAATCTTGGTATTTTTTCCAAGGCTTCCAACGGCTTTTACCAAAAGGCGAGTGAGTCAATCCTGGTATGAACGTCGACCCATGTTGATTATCGTCACATCTGAAGCATTCGCATATCCATCGTCCTTTATTCTTCCGACAATAGCCATCGTTGCAGTCCTAAAAAGAGATTTAGTGAAAACGTTCACCGGGTTCAAGTAGTGAAAGTACTATTTATAATAATATTGAAAGAAATCTACGATTTCTTTGATGACATTAAACAAAAAGCGCATGGTTACTGCAAAACGATCATTTGCTGCTGTTAAAGGCAGTAGATCGGCAGAATGAGACCCGTGACAAAACAGTCACAGGGTAGGAGCCCCCATATGGAACCTATCGGCCAAAGTCCGATCTTTCCCGGCCACTTCTGATCGCCGAAGTTTCAACGCGGAAGCAGCGCTCATCTCTTGTATTCTCCGGCCCCGCCCATCCCATGGGATCGAACTTTGGCCGATAGGTTCCATATGGGAACTCCTGCCCTGTTGACCTTGTTTTGCCACGGGTCTCATTCTGCCGATGTACTGCCTTTAAGTAGTCTAAGATCATCCTGAATTAACACTTCAGAAGTTTCATACTACAAAAAAGTCCTCGGTTTTCACCAATCACAGTGATCATCTCGGGTCACCACCATGCTACCCATTTTTTTCTTTTTAAGCGCACCTATCTTTAAGGCTGTGTAGCCCCCCCCCCCTCTAAAAGAGGGGGGACCTACTTTTTGCCATAAGATTAGTATCATTTCGTGTTAAACCAACGAAATGCATAATTTTTGATGTCAAGGGGTTTGGCTCCTTGGCTTCCTAAAAGCCTAAGGAAGAATTTCACTTTGTTATAAAACAATGTGCCTCTAAGAAAACAAGCTAATCTTATTTTAGCCAAAAGTTTTGCTTTATTCACAGATAACAATCCATCGATCGGATTGGATCATGCGCAGGAGTCACCACTGTGTGCGAATATGAAATACCGATTTTTGTCATTTAATTTGCAATTGGACTTTCCATTCTGTTCAAACCTTTTTCATCGACTAAATCTAGATGTATGAAGTATGATGCACTAGATGTACCGTATCATATCTGGTGTGTACCAATTACCAAGTACCAAGTGAAGTAGGGTGGACGAAGTTGTGTGGAATATTTATACACACTGGCGTAGATTAGTTGAGAGCGATCGAGGCGTCCCGGTGTTAACCGGGGAAGAACCTCCAATACTTCGGAGGCTCCTTTTATACGAGTGAAAGGTGGAGCTGAACCGAGTACATGGTAACGGTAAGTTCCACGTTCGAAAAAGACTAAAAAAATGTTAGGTTGGTGCAAAAATAATGCGCGTTTTGCGAGTTCTCATTTTGACGTGCTATAACATTCTCAAGAATCTACATTTCTTGATGCGATAAAGAGTATCAGAGGCAGCACATCCTTCTATAGTCATATCACGGACGGCCAGAAAATTTTCTATTGGTAAGCAAAAAAAGTTTTTTCCTAAAAGCTCGCTTTAGCTGGTCGTAACATCCTTCTGGATTTGTTAGTAAAAATGCTAAGTAGCCTATCTTGTAGCCGCAAGCCAGTAGTACAAAATAAGATGGAAAGGGCTCAAAGAAAGAAAGTGTGCGAAAAGAGAGAAATCGTAGAAAATTGTCAAGTTCTTTTAGCAATTTTTCGTAGGGCTAAAAATCCCAAAACATGAAGTTTTTAAATTTTTTCTTGCTTACTGAAGAGCTAAATGTTCTTGCAAAAACTGTCAAAGGAGATTTACCCATAGGCTTATAGAAATGGGCAAGGTTTTGGCGATTGCGTTGTTCAAAGGAATTTATGGGCTACAAGATGACCAAAACGACTACCCATATTGAGGCGCTGATATCTCAGTCTAAATAAGTTTTAAGAAAATGACAAAGTGTGAATAATGTGAACAATTTCTACAACATACAGTAGCTGAAGTTCCAGGAAAATGCTTTTATTCGCGCTTGAATTCAGGCTAAAAATGTAAAAGCAATAAAATTGTGGTTTTGAGCACGGTTGTGTAAAGCTTTGCATATTTTTAACGAATGATGTTAGAAGCTTGTTTCAACCACCATTGGATAGAACATGAAAAGAGCTTTTCAACATTTCAAAAGTCTTTTCCAGAAAAGGACGTTTGATGAAAAAAAGTTGTCCTGAAACCGGGCCTAAAAACGCGCGTTACTTTTGCACTAACCTAATATAATGTGCTTATATCTCTATACCATTGCGTCACATCCGCTTCGCGGAGGTTCGCACTAGCTCTTCTATCCGTACGCCTTTCTCAGTCGCATAATGATGACTTTAAGACTCACCATTCTATGCTGAACATAGCAAATGAATCGTAAGCAACTGTTTATTCTTGAAGCGTTACCACGTAAGATCGTTAATTCAAAAAAAAAAACTGTTTTGCAAAGGAACACCTGCGGATTTGAATGGATTACTGAAATTGTCTTGGCTTGGTATTCGTCATGAGGATGGCTTTGAGCTAAATCTTCGTGCAAAAATCTCTCACATTTCAAGATTAAACCTTGCCAAATCAAACTAACTAAGCGATCACTACTTTTTTGGCGCTGTTTTTGCAGAAAGGCAAAGTTTTTGAGCACTCTTTGGACTAGAAATCATGGGGCGCAGATTTACTTGTTAGGAATCATGACTTTGCAAAAAGTCAAATTAGCGGCCTAGTTTTGTGCCAGAAGCCGCGTGGACCCTTTTGACGCGCGAATGTTGAAGGACCCGCTCATCCAACCGACTCTCATTGTGCATGGTGGACCTACATGACGGTGCGGTATGTTATGCAAAATTGTAGCGCGATAGCTTGGCTGCAGCTCCCTCTATGAATTTTGTGACAGACGGACATAACCACACGCACAAAAAGACAGACGCTTAGCGCTTCATTGTAAGTCATCTCTATATATCTTTCTATATAAAGCAAAATCCTTGTGTCTGTGCGTCTGTGCATTTCCCATAATCAAGAAGGATGAGCGGTGAAGCTCATTTCAATCTGTTGGTCATCAAGATATAGTAAGGACGGTAGGAAGCGAACCCAAGGCGAATCGGAATTAAAGAAGGGTAAATTTCGCTACATGAGAGATCAAGCAAGACGGGCTGCCTCCAGAACGTGGTGGAACCCGGGATGCCAGCTCGCAACATCGGCGGTAGATAGGAGGGCGTTCTATTGGTTGCGCAATGGAAGGCTCAAAGAAATAAAGGATAGGAGTGGTCCAAGCCTGAAACTCGGCGCCCATGCCTTTGAACTGGTTTTTGATCAAGATACTGTCTTGACTAATCTAGGTCCGCCCGACTCGATTCGCAATTATGAAAGAAAAACAACATTTTGACGAGTATTCTTTTTGTTGTATTGTATTTTTTATTTTGTATTTTTTTGAGTATTGTTTGAACTGCTTCAAAAATGGCAATCAAAACCGTTCAGATCGGATGACCCCTATCATCAAAATGGTGGCTCATGTTTTTTTAGCCACTAGAAGGAATCTTCAGGGTAAATTTGATGAAGCACTAAACACTGCAGTTCATGACCAAATTTCGAGGTATCCTATTCCTCGCGTGGAAACTAAGATGCTTCACCCCTAGACAGACTGCTGTTACATGATTACAACCTGTTGTCATAAGGTCAAGATTTACGAGGCTGTTCGAAAAACTAATGATAAGCAGATAGTAAAGCATCTACAAATTCAAAGTGTAGTCCACAACTCAGCCTGGTTTCCGATAGGGCAAATACTTACCCTACGTTCCACCCTCACTACATGCTTGAATCGTTCGTTGGCTTACAAGCAAAGTTCGCTTGGTCGAAGTGGCGATTCGGAAGGCGATGTATAACAATGGATAGAACGTAAAACGCTTCTCAAATATACTTCGACCAGTCTTTTAGGCATATCCCATTTCACACACATAGCTAGTCCAAAGCGCCGCGAAGCGGCGCTTTGGACTAGCTATGTGTGTGAAATGGGATATGCCTAAAAGTTAGAACTTTGAATCTGTGGCAAGCCTTTTGCTCCTCAAAATATGGTAAGAATTTTTTTAACACTTGAAAAACTGAGAGATCATCAGTCAAGAGTCAAGAATCGTCGCTGCTGAAAATCTTCAAAGGTTTTCTAAACAAAACCCCTCAGAATTGTGCTCCCTCCCAACTTCTTTTATCCGCACCTCTGTTTCCTCGTGTACACTCCAGGATGCACACTATTGCATCCTTGCGTTTCAAAGTTGCTCTGTCCTTCATTTAGACAAATTGTCCCCCTTCTCCTCTTCCTCACCAAATTCTTTTCAGATTTCACAAATAAATTCTATATGAAACTCATGATCTATCCAATCTAAGTTTTAGCCCAGTTGCGATTGATATAGACTGTACCTGCCACATTTTCTCATTTCGACATTTTTCGATGACCCTCGGATGCTCTTGACCTTTAACATTAAAAAACTTTTTCTGACCGAAGTGGTCGTCTCATAGTCGAAAAAGATTACTCAGCCCTGTGCACTCTTTTGCTATTCCCATTCGGGGCCCTGCTCCTCACATTGAGCGTCCCTTCTGCCTTACTCCATTTCTTCCAAATTTCTTCGACCTCTCTTACAAGGAAACGATACTTGGTGTCCGTACACATTCGTCTTGGCACGCTGCTTCCGAATCTGACTTCCATTTCTGCTCATCGTTTCTCTAGAAGAAGTTATGAAGGATTTTCGCGTCAATGGTAGCCTAAAAGAAATACGGTCAAGGATGCCTAACTTTTAAAAAGAAGCTTGATTGAGGCAATGCAAAACTTGGAAACACAAAAGGACTTGGGACTAAACCTGCATTAACTTGCGAGGCTATTGCACTAGTCACTACACCACATCTTAGCGGCGTTTTCGGCATTTCGACCACATCTCCTTCGGCGCGAAAATCCTTGATAACTTTTTTACGAGAAACGATTAGCAAAAACGGAAGTCAGATTCGGAATCAGCGCTCCAAGACGAGTGTAATGGTATGCATTTCATCTCAAAAAGCCACGGACACCAAGTATCGTTTCCTTGTTAGCTTTCAGAAATAAATCGTATCAGCAAGGGATACAACTTACATTTCTGAAGATATTTAGCCAAATCACAACTGATTCAAACTTTCACGAATCTAAAACTACCTCT